CGCTCTGACCAACTGAGCTAATGGTCCTATTTGATATCTATTATATTATACAAAAGAAAGGCAATATAATTTAGGAAATTTTTCAGTAGAGATTTTGAAAATCGCATTATAAAAATTTATGCTAAAACTTTATGACACTTTTTGAGGATAGATAAGTCGCCGAATATAATGTAGAAAAGAAAACTAATGATTGTTAATTTCTTCATGGATGAATTTTTAAAGTTAGAAAAAAGTGATTTAATTCTTTCCTTTGTCATATTTTATTCAATTTAAATCCAGAAGAATTAAATAAGGAAGATAAGAATGAAAACAGTTGAAAATACTTTCAGAAGTCAAAGAATTGTTCTCCACAATTGAACTTTTTGTTTCAGTTTCCAATTTTTTTATCTTCAATATTTTATTATATACCTATATTCCATTGCAAAAATATAATGGTTACAAAAAAGTTTAATGCGCAACTACAATAGAGCTAAATAGCGCTAAATTGAAATTAAATACGCTGAAATGAAGTTGAACGCAAAAGCATCTCGCGCCAGTATTATCTACGGCCAATCATCGCGCGCATTTGACGCGAGCGTTCGTCATTGGTCAGTTTCGTTCCACAAGAATGACAGCAATCAGTTGCTAACGGAACACGAGGTGGGAGTCAATCAGTCAATTTCGAGCGTCATCGTGTCGAAACGATAATTTGCTCGACGTCCGACGATGCCATGCATCTCACTGATAACGTAGGATTATTCGTTGTTTTTTATGTATAAGCTTCAGTTGTATTCTCTTGGTTGTCGTTCTTTTCTGTGACACACAAGCGAGATAGGACACATTGAATCAGCAGGTAGGCTGTAAACATTGTCAGTGACATATGTAATTGATATGCAAACACAGATTAATTCCTTCCTTTGTTCTGTTATCTGCCCTGTCATATCAGACGATCAATTAATGCGTATCATCTGACGCTGTTTCTGGTCTGTATAGGCAAGATGCTCTCGCACATCATACTCGTGACCCTATCTCTCCTCTCTACTGCATTTGCTACTGTGATACATTATCAGCCGGAAGCTGTACATATTTCTTATGGCGGTGAGTTTTATGACATTGATATGTAAGTAACGTAATATCTTAGATCATATTTTTAAAATGTAAACCTGATCATATAAACAATGTAACGGGAGGAAATTGTATTCTAAGACAAGTGTTTACAAACAACTCTTGTTTACGATTAAAAGAGATAATTAATATATATATGTTCCGATTATAATTTTTAGATAACATTCACGACATTGTTGTCACTTGGAGCACAAGAAACGATACCAAAGAATCAATAGTGGAATATGGCATAGGTGGGTTTGTTCTGCGAGCTGAAGGAAATTCTACCCTCTTCGTCGATGGCGGGAAACAAAAACGGAAACAGTATATCCACAGAGTATGGCTAAAGGATTTAACGCCCAACAGCAAATACAGTATATATCTCGTGCATTTTTTCCGTTTGCTACTAATTATCCTCAAATTATCGCACTAATAATGAACGTATTGCTATTTGTCTTCAGTATATCATTGCGGTAGCCGTTATGGATGGTCAAATATATTTTACATGAGAACTGCACCCGAGGACTCTACAGATTGGTCACCGCAAATAGTTATCTTCGGTGATATGGGTAACGAGAACGCGCAGAGTTTATCACGGCTGCAGGAAGAGACCGAGCGTGGTTTATATGATACTGCCATTCACGTCGGCGATTTCGCTTATGATATGAACACGGATAATGCGCGCATAGGAGACGAGTTTATGCGGCAAATTGAATCCGTTGCTGCTTACATACCGTACATGACTGTACCCGGCAACCATGAAGAGAAATACAATTTTAGCAATTACAGGTATATTTAAGCACCGTTGCCTGATCACACGTACAACTTGCTACCAATACTTCGTGCAATATGCGAAACGTTTTAATCCGATTTTTTAATAATCTTCCAGAGCCCGATTTACTATGCCAGGTAATTCGGAAGGCTTGTGGTACAGCTTTAATATAGGTCCTGTACATTTTGTAGCTATAGAAACTGAAGCTTATTATTTTATGAATTATGGTATAAAACAAATGATTAAACAATATGAATGGTTGGATAAAGATCTACGAGAAGCTAATAAACCTGAAGCAAGGTATATTATCAATTAGACCATAATACAACATAACGACAACATAAATGATAATTGAGAGGATACATCATTACAGGGCTCAACGTCCATGGATAGTAACCTTTGGACATAGGCCAATGTATTGCAGCAATAAAAATGCAGATGATTGTACTAACCATCAGAGTCTAGTTAGAGTTGGATTACCATTTTTAAATTGGTTTGGACTGGAAGATCTGTTTTTCAAATATAAAGTAGATTTAGAAATTTGGGCGCACGAACATAGTTATGAGAGGATGTGGCCCATGTATAACTTTCAAGTAAATGTCGTTTGTTGAGTTTATTTTAAGGAAAATATTCATTTGCTAATGATGGAAATTATCCTCATAGGTGTACAACGGCAGTTACGAGGAACCGTATACAAATTACAAAGCACCTGTACACATAGTTACTGGCTCAGCTGGTTGTAAAGAAGGTCGAGAGAAATTTATTTCAAAACCACCGGCATGGTCCGCATTTCATAGCTCAGATTATGGATACACGAGAATGAAAGTGTTCAACAAAACCCATTTGTATCTCGAACAGGTATGGCATAAATATGATAAAAACAAACACTGAAAACGTGATTTTTATAATTGAATCGTAAAATAACCACTTCCATTTAATAATAGGTATCCGATGATAAAGATGGGGCTGTTTTAGACAGAGTTTGGCTTGTGAAAGATAAACCTTTGCCGCAGTATGTAGAAGTTTTTCCTACAAATTAATGTGACACAAATCTAATTTTAATTAACGCCATATTACAAATCGAGATAATGAACACAATGTAGATTAAAAACATTTAGCGAATTATATTGTTATAGTAAATAATTAATTTTTTTTTACTTCGGCTTTGTATTATACGTATAATTATATAATTTGAATTTGGTACACATTTTACGTAGCTGAATATACTACGGTCGAAATGTATATATGAACATGAACAATAAAATGCGTGATATTTATCTACGTATGAGCGAGTAAAAAATTAGTAAATGCAAAAAACGTATAATATAATCCTTTAATTGTTAAAATATAAATATATGCATATATATAATTATTATAAGTATATATAATATAGTTTTAATAATATATATATGTACATGTATACATATAAATATATATGTATATATGTGCATATATATATAGTATTAGTGTATAAGATTTCATATTTCTCCATCTAACTCACATAATTAATCACTATTTAATGATACATAAAGATATATAACGAATAGCCTTGACTGTTTTTTTAGGAAAACACATTTTTTTCCGATTAAAAATTTATTATAATTAGACATGTGTGAGTTTTTTCGAAGTTTCACATATCACGTATTTTACGACTATATTTCGGATAGAACTCGTTCGAGTTATGTTCAAAGTACTCCAATCGCTCCAATTGTGGCTAACATAATTTCAACCTATGACTCGTTGAATTATCTGTAAGCCCTCATGTTTCCTAAACACTTATTTAGGAGTTTTAAATTAGCGAGTTCTTGAAAAACGCGATTATCTAAATGACATAGCTTAAGTGTTTAGTCCCGATAAATAAAAATAGAATAATAACTGATTATATGATTATTCTACATTTTCACATTTGCATTCGAATGTAACTATATTAAGTATTCGCACTAGGGAGTAATCGTTTACTAGGCACTTTCATCACAATTATGCACAAATCATTTTATGCCGATACTGTTGAAGTCTAGCAACGATTTTATTTTTAGGATGACACGAATAATGAACAATTCATGTATTTCATTATCTCCATTAAAAATCTATTTTTACACAATGATTATATTTATAAAAACAATCTTTCCGGATTTTAAAAAATTCAGATTTGCAGGCAAATCTGGAAAATACACGAGGTATGATTTATATACGTATATATATACATATACATATATATATAATAATAAAAATAAATATATAATATACATGAATATATACATATAATATATAATATAATAATAATAATAATAATATATTATTATATTATATATATGTACATAAATCAGTACTTTCAAATATATAATATCTAGAATATTAATTTTTTAATCCAAAGATTTTCCAAAATTTTCGAATTTTTCAAGATTCAAAGGTTTTTCCAAATGTCTTAGCCAGTGAAAGTAAATAAGCTATAATAGAATCTTACATAAAGTTTTCATCTTTTAGACTTTAAGCTATATTGAATAATTATAGAATCGAGTGTCTATTTACTAAGTTTTAAGCTCATGATTCGATAAAATATCCAATTGCAGCAATCTAATAGAGAATTTAATTTCTAATCATTTTCTATACGCATAATGCATCTACCATTAAGTTAATATATTTTCATAGTTGGGAAGTAATGTAGGTAGAAAATATTTAAGCCAAGTTTCTCTTTTAAACAACTTCCTTTTCCAAGCAATTCCAAAAATAGTCAAACATTTGTTTCGAACAAGTACTCCGAATTCTATACAGCCCAGAATTTTCGAATACTCGCACATCTCCAATTATTATCAGTCATAATAATGACAATTTACATAAGGCTAAAAAAGTGACCTCCAATTTATACAATAATTCAATTAAAGCTGATATTTTACTACACATTCTACTTTCACAATGGACAAACCATTTTCTTTTTCGTTGGCTCTTTGCCACTTGCAATTTTTCTATTTTGGCATCTGCCGTAACAGTCATCTATTGAATTAAAAAAAGATCAGGAACTGCCCTTCCATAAATAAGGTAAGTGATAATGAAGATGGAAAGTGTCAAGTGCAGCTTTTGTGAAACGAAAGATTATACTTACGATTACCGCACGTTCCTTGATGACAAGAAAATTATTCAATATTCACAATACGTGTCTCAAGGAATTTTAGTTAATTCGATTCAATTAAGAACGTAATTTAATCCCTGTCATATTCCTTCGAGTCTATATGCAAATATTAATCATACTATCTCAATCTAATCTTATAGTATACATTTTGCCATATACAATTTTATTGAATAATTATGTGTATAGGTGTAATATGCGCGCGCACACTTATACGCATAAATCTAATTCTTTTGCCATTGGAGATATGTGACAATCTCTTAAGATGCATAAAAAAAAAGCATCATAAAGAAAGATAATTTGATTGATCCGCCTATTGGAAAAATTTCAAGCTTTGCAGACAATCGTCATATACATATCGTAATTAAATCATTTTGCTCGAGGTTTTTCATGCATTGAAAACCACATCTCTCATTACATTAATTAAGCAAGACACTTGACACTGTCAGTGATTAATAGAAACAATGGAAGAAGAATTTGTTGCCGAATTTGAATGACTTTCCTGGTATGAAAATTGAGGAAAATGTTCTTGTTCTTCTGCTATTGATTTTAAACCCCCTCCACTACCCAAACAGCCCTGATCCGGGGGTGTAAGTTCAACACTTTCGCCGGTAAATTCACTATCAAAATATCGAGTGTCAATATCTGAAGTCACTTGCGGCTTAAAGGGTGGAGGAATCTTCTTCTGGACAAGGTCTGTCCAATTGATACACGAGAAAAATGCATGATTCATGATGTCCTTCGCATCATTAGGTCCCCCACCTAATCTTCTACTTGGATCCTTTATTAATAAACCTATAAAAATAACGCACAAGTATAAGTTTCTTTTTCTCGTTTAAGAAAAACGTTTTTAATCATTGAAGCTCGTAATACTTACCACCAAGCATATCTCTTGCTTCATTGCTAATCATCCTAGGAAATCTTACTTCTTCCAATAAAATAAGCGTAAACAGCTTTTCATGATCTTTGTTATAAAAAGGTAATCGACCACACATCATTTCATACATGACTACACCCACACCCCACCAATCTACAGCTCGTCCATAGTCGTTATCTTCAAGTACTTCCGGTGCCAAATACTCTGGTGTCCCGCAAAATGTCTTTGTTGTTCTCCCTACGTTATACAATTAATCTCATCAAAACTTATTCAACATTTCATTACTTTTAATCTACCTTTCGGTTTACGAACGATACAAACCGTATGTAATGTCTTCTTTGCACAGACCAAAGTCAGCAATTTTAATATGCCCGTCTTTGTCCAAGAGGAGATTTTCCAATTTGAGATCACGATATATAATCCCTTGCGAGTGCAAGTATCCTAAGGCCGATATAATCTCTGCGCCATAAAATCGAGTACGATCTTCGCCAAATACACGTGACCGACTCAAATGGAAAAATAATTCGCCACCATTTACATATTCCATAACAAAACACAGCCTGTCTGCCGTTTGAAAACTGTATTTCAAAGACTGAAAATTTATAAATATGTTTTACTACATTATAATTCAATAAAAACAGCCTTAATCTCAAATTATAAAATTGCAAAAAAATATTTAATAACATACATATTAAGCGGTATTTTACGTACGATTAAAAAGGGATGATTAGTAGTACGTAATACTCTGTTTTCAGTAAGTGTATGTGCCACTTCATCTTTACGGATAATAACTTCCTTTCTTAAAATTTTGATAGCGTATAAATGTCCTGTCGCCTTTTCTCTACAAAGAATTACCTTTCCAAACGTTCCTTTCCCCAGAACTTTTAAAAATTCAAAATTTTCAAGTGTCTGAAACAAATACATGA